GGGTGAAGGGAAGTGAGAGGGGTTAGGCGGTGAGAAAACCAGCGTGGAGTGTTCCCATGAAATCCGCTCAAAAAGTCACACCATATTACATTTAAATAAGCAAGTAAAATTGTGATAATGAAGGCATAGGACGAGGATATAGGAATGGTGATTAGCCCAGGGCGGAAGGATAGATAGCGCGATTGTTTAGCAGACAATTGGTCAAAGGATCGGCTCCACTTGTCTCTTTGACGAGTTGTGGTGTGGTGCTAAGGCAGGCAATGCTCACTGACGATGCCATCGAAGCGTCTGGGAATGTCCCACGTCCACGGTCCAACTCTGGAAATTATCATGCATGCTATAGTCTCCGGACTCAGTGAGTTTCTCTAAGTCCTCATAGCAATATGGCGAAGTTACGAAAACAAGGTCAAACAACTTCTATACAACGAAAGGAGACTGCGATCACACAAAAGGCCACATCATCTTGGTCTTCATACCTTCCATATTTTTTATTTCTTATAAGACCAAGGAGATACTTATTCTCAGTCTACCTAGCTCACTATCTCACTAGTCTGTATAGGCTGATCTAATACTCAGGATAAATAGTGATTTTAAAATATCGACCTTTGCTTTGTAACTATGCTTAATAAGAAGTTACGGATAAAGCCAACATATCTTGCCTACTTATATACATCCTCGTCGAACTTCCATCCAGCTCTGATGACTAAAGCATAGAAAAACTAAACGATTATCCTTCCCTATTACCATTTTGAATTTAATGATATTATCCATCCAGTTAATTAAGATCAAAGAATTATATAATCTGTCCCTACCATTCTGTAAAATTGCAAAAGAATTTCGTATATATCTTTCGTTTCTTAAGATCTGATATAAAAGCTGTTTAAGGTCTTATGTTTCCAAAGAGGTATGCTCATCTAGGCAGGAATGGACTGCAGTTTCGACCCTGCCTAAACCTATCAGAAATCAGATTGTGATAGTGCAGAGTACAGTTTCAACAAGTTAACCACTACACCACACATCTACAAATGCCCTTAGGTCACAGGGAAGAAATGAATTTCAAGGAAGTCTTGGCCTTTCCCATCTCACACGTCTGTATTGGGATCGTTGACGAAGCAAAGTTGTATCCGCTATAGCAAAACTATGTTAATTACAATGATAAAATGATGACTAATCATATCATTGCGGAAAAATTCAACTAAGAGTCCTTCATAAGCTTAAACTAAATATTACGAGTGCAGCTCATCTCATATACCTGACATTTTGGTATCAATCTTACCTCCTCTATGAAGCTTTTCTCCATTCTTAACTAAACTGGAAGCCATACGAGATCCGAATTGTAAGATTTTGCACCTGTTCATTAAACCTATTATTTAGGGTGAAATATTTGCCGATCATTGTAAGAAAACCTATTTTTAAGATCTCCGATTTGTTCCCTTAATACTACCCAAGTATTTATCTAGGTTAAATATCAGTGCTTGAACAGCATCCTGAACCAAGATGCATTAATACCATATCGAAACGTACCAAAGGTCCTCCACCATAACACTTTGCTGATATACTAAGCGAACAAAGTTAAATGAATTCCTCACTGAATATTTCCAATATACAACTTATTTCCTTAATTATCTGCATAAATATCGTGAAATTATATGAATCGCACTCCTTTTATTATTAACAATCAAGCTTGAGGATACTCCCTCTTTGTGTATCCCCGAAAGGTCGTAGGTTAAAGTTCCCTTGCATCCCTTTGAGGAAGTGAATTCATTTTCCGCTTTTCAATTTCTCGCTTGCTTTCACAAACGTTAAGTGATTCCCGAAGTTTAACCGTAAGATCCCAGTGGAATGCTTCGCTTAAAGCTTGTACGTCCTCGTGCGAGCCTCCAACCAAATCCAGATACTGAAACGAAAAAGCAGGCGGCATGTGGATACTGGTTTCTGATTAAATATGACTCAATCGCATGACGTGGCAGATAAAACTCCAGATTAGAAAAGCATGTAAACAACAATGCATTAGCAGACTTCATCCACAATAACCTGGAAAATAACAGTTATTGATAAGATATGAGATAAAAAAAGAATAACTTGCTGCTTCAGATGAGTTCAGAGAAGCTCTTGAGCAAGTAAGAGTGCTTCAACTACCATGCTGGCGATTAGACTCACAAAAGAGCATAAATTGTGCAGTTCCGTCCAGGCCTGGTCAAAAAGACTTGAGGCCCAGAGAAAGTGGTAGCCAAGACAGACTCGTATGACGCCCTCAGCCTGGGCGCAGAACAGTGGCAGTTGCTCTTTTAGAGCTTTCTGTAGGGTACGGATTGTGTCGAGAGCGATTGACCTCTCTTCGCCGGTAGGCGGGATGGACTTTAAGGATAAAATAGGGGGGCCAATAAAAAGACGGCAGAAGACTCAATTTAAAGCTGTGAAGAGATTGAAGGGTATGGGAGAGTCCCTTATCTCCGGTGAGATAAGGCTAAGTGAAAATTCAATGGTATTTTTGTGTACCAAAAAAGGACGTGGACTTTCTCTAAAATACAAAACGCTTGCACTCTATAACTCCAAATTTGGAGGTCACGAAACGAAGAGAGAGAAGGAAAAATAGTATTACCAAGTGTCCTATTTAGAAACGGCTTAATACAGTATGGGAGGCTGACAATATAAAGACAATCATTGAAAGGCGGCAAAAACAGAAAAGTCTGAACTTCAAGGATCACAGCGGAGGGAAAACGCGACCAATCTAAACAGGATGTTAGCTACTTGATATACCCTTGCGTAGTATTCCATGTCAACTTCTGATCGGACGATGCGGCACCGAGCTTTGATTGGACGATGTGAAATCAAGAGTTAAGATTAGTCACGCACTCACGTGATCCTTGCACCAAAGGATGTTGAGCTCTGGCTACGCATGAAATGTAACAAAAACGAAATATTGAATGGGACGTGTGGAGATAGGTCACTACAGTATCATTAGGTATAATCATATCATTTCACGGTCTTATGCAACCTAGAGTGAAAACAATTTTTAATCGAGTCCTGATAGTATCAAATACCACTAACTATCATAGATTATATCAAACTCTACGGGAATTTTTTTAAGCCTATGATGCGAATGAGACCCATGTGAGGTAAAAATTACACTCAATCTCGCATGAGAGGGTCTTTAAGAGGCAGG